TAGTTGTTTTTATATATGTAATATATTTTATGTAATGTAAATTTCTAGACGTTTATAATAATTCTCTTTCTCATTGCAGATATTTACTTGGGTAGTGGGGTCAAGTTTTCAATCACTGCTCCTAGTACAGTTAGTGTCTGTGACGATGAACGCAAATAAGACATTACAAATCACAGCATATGAATACATCATGCGTAAAATGAAAGCATTACGTGAAATACACACTCAATTTACATAACGAATCACCTATGACTATATGTATACACACTCGGGTCACGTGATCACGGAGAACTGCTTCTGCTCAGCTGGAAAGATTTTAACAAGTTGGTCAATATATTTATGAGTAACATCACTTTTCGCTGGAGTAATATAATAGAACGTAAGAGGGTGATTTGTCTGAATCAAAGACACTATATTTTTATAATGCAAACGGCTGAACTAATAATAAATAAATAATACAAATTATCCAGCACACTAAACCTTAACATTACTAATTTAAAACGGCAACATAGATAATTGGAATAGCTGTTTTAATGTTCTTCCACACATATTGATTATGCGCATGCGCAATGAATTATTAGTAAGTACCAATTATTCAAAACACGTGCGCAGAAAAATGAAACACGTTAAGTAATTGGCTCGTGTACAGGGCAATATGCAAAATCGAACAAATACACAAACGTATACTTTATTTAAGTTATCTGTATTGCCTCTTAAAATAATGCTAGTAGAAGTAGTTCCGTTTTCGTGATGGCTTCGAATATAGCGATATATACATGTATCCATAGATTTCTGGTGTAAAAAGTTCGTGGATATCTAGTATGTCACGTGATCTGACATCATTGAAGCGTTGATGTAGTATATCTTGTATATTAGTATGTTTAGAGTCCAAACCTGTCTTCCAGGAAATCGTTGATATTTCGACATGGGTCTTTTTTATGTAGAGGAAGTGTAATTGTCGGATGAGGTACGTATTGCCATTTACCCTGTTAAGAATAATATATACAAATTGCCATACTTACAAGACAATATAATAGTAATATATGACAACAAAATGAAAACCTTTCAGAACCAACTACAAAATTGAAAAACTGTTTATTATGCAGAGGAAAAATCCCCAATTCACAGCATCAAATATTTTTCAATAAATAAATGATACTTTCAAAAAGCGAGAAGAGTAACCATTTCAATGCACCCCGCGTGAGGAATGTTTATCATATCTCATTAGTAGCGGACATCTCACTGCAGTGCACATATTTAAAACGTAATAACCGAGTTGGCATTGAACGCCTGATGTGAAAACAGCTGTACCACAGCAAGGCTCATGATAACCTGGGAATTCGGCTACAGAGTACGGCCACTTATGGACCCAGACAGCACGACACGAAGTCGACCTCTACTGAACGCATCGTTCCATGCCTGGAGAGGGGTAGTCCCGTTATTCGTGCACACATGCGGTTTACCCCAGAAGGTTAGACATCAATTATAAAAAATAAGTCATCGACTCTAATCTGTGAAACAAAGTAGAAAATACAATTCGCCCTAACGACGTGCAAATTCACAATCATTCTAATCGTCCATGCATGTGCGAAATGTGAGACATGTTTGGATCAAAGACAATGTACTATACCCCGTGACAGAATCCCAACGCGTGGCGCCAAGATGACTGGATTTTTTCAGGAGATGTTATTTTAGATCAATACACATTTATTTCATCTCATTACCCCGGGTTATATGATCGAACTAAAAAAAACATCACACACATGAATGGGTCACAGTGCACATTCAGCGTGGCAGTTTCCAGAAGAAATGATATAACTGTGCTCTCACGATCGTCAGATAATTGAATTAGATGCTTGGGTAGTTTCATGAGTTTATTTTAGCAAAGGAATCAAAGAATGCGTTTGAGTATGGTGTCAATTATCGGATAAAGAAGCGGACACTCGAAAATACCACATGTCAGTTACTTAGTCATGCTCATATGATAATAACTGAATGAATATACAGGGCATGCGCAGTCAGTTTACTTCAAGATGTTGCTGGTCCCATACTAATTTTTGACCAGAATGTCAGAAAGAGAAACAGCCCAATATTTAAAATAAGTGGTATTATTTTTGTTGCTGGTCTTCATTTTAAAATTTGCTTACATAATACAGATAGATACCAATATTACACTCAACGCTAACAATAATAATAATAACACATTATTATAAACTCACCGGAAATTGTGATCCAGAGTTTTCTAAGCACATCATTTCAATAGGCTTTGTTTGAAATACTGTCTGTAATATGTACGAGGTTGTCCTGGACCACTTAACTTTGTTATAATTAACCTTCATACCCCCACCACGTATTAATGGCATTTTATAGTTCCTAGAAAAAAGAGTTTATTTAATTGTTTGTATGTTTGCTTTGCGTTCTTGCTTGTTATCTGACTGGCTCGCTTACTTACTTACTTACCCCCTCCCACATGCCTCATATTTGTATGAAAACTACTGGAAACATTTAGTATATCCTACGAAATATTAATAATAACATGAGACACCGTGATAATAATATTTCGTGTTAAAATGATATTTTATTATATTCATGCAATAATATACTTACTTATACATATAAATGAAGAACTTGTTTAAAGCCCTTTTAGCTATCGTACTTTTACACACTTCCAGCTTTGTACGAGGATAATAGTGAATATAATTCAAGCACATCTCGTCTTCAATTCCAAACCCACCCTATGCAACAAAAATTGTATAGGTTGCAGTATGTGGCAATTAAAGTTTGTATCATCTAACTCCTAGCAGTAAATGAAAGGTAATCTATGAAAGCAAACCTTCACAACAGCAGAGAAGTTCGTATCCTTAGAATGACCATGTCTGGCAATAATCAATAGCTGATCCTTTCGACAATTCGTATAATCTTACTCTAATTGATGAATCATTGTCTCAGTGAAAATGTTTGCCCACAACTTGTTTTACGTTCTGGAACGGAATGAGGAGTCCGTTCCACTGGGTCAAGATTTCCACACAAAAATCAATTGGTTTACAGGGGCAAACATTCTTAAAATGTCATAATTGTTTGCTTCAGAAGCAAATCTATTTGTTTACCGCTTGTCTCAAAAACAATACTTTTCAAAGCAATTCAGGAGAATTGATTCACAACTTTGAGTTAAGATTCTTTTCACAAATAGACAGACAAACAGATAAACAAACGTACCGACATCGGCAAAAACATAACCTTCTCCGAGTCGATGTAGGTAAAAAACATTGAAACCATACAAAACACACGTGTGGTGCCCGTCATGTATAATTGATACCTTTCAATATTTTTTCCAGCACAATTATAAATAAAATATGGCTTATACTCGATACGCGTTGATTAATCATATCTCTTTGAATAACGAACATATCACGATGATTTTAATTCATCAAAGACAGTATACTGGGATGGAGATATCGATCGACTAAGTATATGTAATGATTTCAATATCCCTTTAAGATGTTCTAAAATAAACTTGACTTACGCATGATAGGAAAATAGCAATCATGTATGATGCATTATTTAGATGGATGTTATAGAACTCGAGTAAGCTCATGAGTAGAGCTTGCCTGATATAGGGTTGTGTACAATTAGCTTAGCTATGCACGTATAACCAAGATTGTCAATCACGTATCGTATGATATGAGATATCGTAAGCATCCAACAGATAATAATTGGCTTAACATACATGTAATATATACAATTAATGGTATGCAAATGTTACAACTTTGCATGTGAGACAATCCCACTACAACCGAGTTAAACATAAAACATACAGAGAACAGACAAAAATCGAAATCTCATAAAACTGATATATAGTTAAGAATTCAGTTGTTTTATGCAATAAATTTGCAATATCGCAGTTGTTAGAAATGTACCCATTAAAAGATATATCCAAGAAAATACCACATGGTTGTCGATTTTATGTTTTTCGAGAAAATGTTGATTACATATAGTCTGTCAGCGTTGGAACGTTTGTATCATTGATTTCTATGGTTATTAAGTCTTCACATGTCTCAAACTTGTATGTACGTATGAAATATTTGAAAATTCTTTAGTAATATGGCAAATATGGAAATATAAGCATTGTCTTTGTCAGAAATTGCATTTTGCACATAAATATTTTAAATTAGGGTCTAGATTAAGATACCCCGTGCCACAGAATTACGACATTATGTTACGGCATTTTACACATGCAGAATTATATTAGCTATATTTACCAATGTTACATTAGTCCTATCCATGGTGTTATATTTACATCCTGTTACCAGCATGTCACCCTAGAGAAATATGATATATGATATGTTACGATAGAATATGACATGATACGATACGATATATTATGATATGATACGATACAGCAAATTATGATATACGCTACGACATATTATGATATGATACGATACAATATATCACGATATATTAAATGTGGAATTCCCCAGGGTTCAATACTCGGCCCTCTATTATTTCTTCTCTATATTAATGATATTAACTCCAGTACCAATGCCTTTGATTTTCGTTTATTTGCAGATGACACTAACCTATTCAACTCACATAAATCTAACCAAATTAATCTTAATACTATTAATACAGAA